GTTTTACTGCCTTAAACTGTTTCTTTAGCTATCAGTACAGGCCATTCTCTTAACCCTCCTTCTGCAGTTTCTTCTGATGCTTACACACACCCATTTCATTCATTCAAACCAATCTTAGTATTTCTATTACAAGTCTCTGAAAGTTGACTCAGCTTACTAAGGAATCAGACGAATACTAGAGCCAGGACAAACAAGAAGCTGGAAGCAGAGGACAGTAGAAATAAAAGAGGTTCAGGCACTGCATTTTAGCAACAGTAAGAGGTTACATCTACTCAGCCGTTTTCTATGCTTCTTAACTTTATAAAAATGGCTTGAAATTTTTGTATGGAATCAGTCACTGCTCTGTAAAAAGAACACTGGTTTGGGACTCCCTGATACAGCCATCTCTTCTGTCTCACACAGTTGTATTGTTTCATACAAAAAGGTACTGTTTAAAGAAGAAATTGGTGAGGATGTCAAGTATTTGAGGCATTTGTATTTGCAAAACAATATACCAAGAGACAGGATAAATTCAGTAAAGTTTCTTTGTTTTCTCCCAGGACTGATCCAAAACCCTTTTAAAGTGGATTTCAGGGCAATGCTTGCTAAGGTGGTTTCTGCAGCTTCTAATTGCTTATAGTTCTTCAGCTTAGTTTCCCACTCCATGCATATACCGTTCCCAAAAAGTAACCAATAAAGTTTCTCAGCCCACTTAGAAATTTGAACTAAGTGGAACAATGCACAAATGCATGTTTTCAGGGGAAAGGGCTGAAAAAAACAGAAGATAAATAAATACAAGTAAATGACTGTAAGCTTTTTTTAAATGTCTGATTCACGACTTTTCTAAGAGTTTGGATTTTGCAAAGAGAACTGCTGGCTCACTGCCTAAATTTTCTACTTTTACAGACAATCTTGAAACTACATCAAGTGTGGAACTGAGTTTTATTATCCTAGGCAACCTAATAATGCACATATGCATGTCTAGAACATAAATCTGCTCAGAACTATCAATTTACTTTCTTAAAGCTAGAACTGATAAGGTGAACTCCTCTTTCTATCCTTTCCCTTTGTATTGTTTTACTTAAATTACTTCATTTGTTCAAGTATCATAGCAAGAAGGCAAATGTGGGAAAACATGCACATTGAAAAGGTCTTTCTATAACTTTCCATTCAAGAAAGAAACAGCAAAACCACTAATCATACTTATTGCAGATGAAAGAGGAGTGATGCACGTCACTCATAAGAGAGAAGCAGCAGAATATTTCTTTAGCTATCAGTACAGGCCATTCTCTTAACCCTCCTTCTGCAGTTTCTTCTGATGCTTACACACACCCATTTCATTCATTCAAACCAATCTTAGTATTTCTATTACAAGTCTCTGAAAGTTGACTCAGCTTACTAAGGAATCAGACGAATACTAGAGCCAGGACAAACAAGAAGCTGGAAGCAGAGGACAGTAGAAATAAAAGAGGTTCAGGCACTGCATTTTTAGCAACAGTAAGAGGTTACATCTACTCAGCCGTTTTCTATGCTTCTTAACTTTATAAAAATGGCTTGAAATTTTTGTATGGAATCAGTCACTGCTCTGTAAAAAGAACACTGGTTTGGGACTCCCTGATACAGCCATCTCTTCTGTCTCACACAGTTGTATTGTTTCATACAAAAAGGTACTGTTTAAAGAAGAAATTGGTGAGGATGTCAAGTATTTGAGGCATTTGTATTTGCAAAACAATATACCAAGAGACAGGATAAATTCAGTAAAGTTTCTTTGTTTTCTCCCAGGACTGATCCAAAACCCTTTTAAAGTGGATTTCAGGGCAATGCTTGCTAAGGTGGTTTCTGCAGCTTCTAATTGCTTATAGTTCTTCAGCTTAGTTTCCCACTCCATGCATATACCGTTCCCAAAAAGTAACCAATAAAGTTTCTCAGCCCACTTAGAAATTTGAACTAAGTGGAACAATGCACAAATGCATGTTTTCAGGGGAAAGGGCTGAAAAAAACAGAAGATAAATAAATACAAGTAAATGACTGTAAGCTTTTTTTAAATGTCTGATTCACGACTTTTCTAAGAGTTTGGATTTTGCAAAGAGAACTGCTGGCTCACTGCCTAAATTTTCTACTTTTACAGACAATCTTGAAACTACATCAAGTGTGGAACTGAGTTTTATTATCCTAGGCAACCTAATAATGCACATATGCATGTCTAGAACATAAATCTGCTCAGAACTATCAATTTACTTTCTTAAAGCTAGAACTGATAAGGTGAACTCCTCTTTCTATCCTTTCCCTTTGTATTGTTTTACTTAAATTACTTCATTTGTTCAAGTATCATAGCAAGAAGGCAAATGTGGGAAAACATGCACATTGAAAAGGTCTTTCTATAACTTTCCATTCAAGAAAGAAACAGCAAAACCACTAATCATACTTATTGCAGATGAAAGAGGAGTGATGCACGTCACTCATAAGAGAGAAGCAGCAGAATATGTTTTATTGATCTAAGACAGTGGTTTAACAAAGATCAAAGGTAAATAAGACAGTAGTTTAATGAGATTAGATGGCAAGGTTCACTCGGTTATTTACTGCATGGAGGACAGGGTCAAACAAAATCATCCAAGAATCACAGAATCACAGCACGGTTGAGGTTGGAAGGGACCTCTGGAGATCATCTAGTCCAACCCCCCTGCTCAAGCAGGGTCCTCTAGAGCACACTGCACAGGATCATGGCCAGGTGGGTTTTGAATATCTCCAGAGAAGGAGACTCCACTACCTCTCTGGGCAACCTGTTCCAGCGCTCTGTCACCCTCACAGGAAAGAGGCTTTTCCTCATATTCGGATGGAACCTCCAGTTTGTGCCCGTTGCCTCTTGTCCTGTCACTGGGCACCACGGAGAAGAGCCTGGCCCCATCCTCTTGCCTTCCTTACTCTCTTGTTGAGTCCGGTGGTTCAGGGTGGACTCCCTTGCTTTCCACACTCCTACACAGTCTCAGACTTGGTCAACAGTTTATGTCTAGGGATTGTGTACACAATCAATCCTAGAGGTAACTTAGCAAAGTTTGCAAAGTTGCAGTGCACTGTTAGTCACTTACCGAGGCTCTGTCACAAGCAAGGAATCTCTTGACCTTCAGGAGCAACCCTGAGAGGCATCCCTACTCAAGGAGAGATTCACCATCATGCAGCCAGCTGCCATGCAGGAGAGCTCAACAGGCTCCAGGCTGTCCCCTATTTATGGGGTAAGATGATTAACTCATAGTCAGTTTTGCATACCAGCCGTACCTTGGTGAGGGCATGTTCAACTAGTCCTTGGCTATTGTGCTGTTATCTGTCTCCCCAGATTCCAATTTGAGCCAGACGCAGCCATCACAACCGCTGCTGGTGGTTATGGCCTGAGTGGAGGCAGAGGGTGAAGGTCAGGTCTTACTGAGAGCTACCGCCCAAGCAGGGTTTCGAGTGAAAGGTCAGGTAGGGTGGGGGGCTCACTGTCACAGTACTAGACACGTCACAGTACTAGGCACATCAGTCCAGTTCTTTGAGGTATTTCTCTTCTGTGAGCTGAACAGCAATTGTTGATTGTGGTGTTGACTGTGTTGCTGACTATTTAGATTTGCATGCCTTTCAGATTAGGCACTAGTACCAAGCAACACAAGCTGGCATTCACTGTACTTTCAGGGTTAAGTTCCCAATACAGAGGGATACTGGTTGTTGATGCTTATGAAGCCTGCATTGCCTAAAGTTTGAATACTCAGAATTCATCTCTAATGAACTTAGCACTCAGCCTCCTCCCTCTCATATCTTTGTTTCACGTATTTGCTATGCATCTCTCAGTTTCACAATCCCTCCCAGGATCTACCTCAACATTAGCAGGAATTATTTACTTACTGGCTTCACACCCTCTCGTCAGGACACAACTGTGAAAAACAGTATTGATTAGCAGCTGACAACCTGGAAGAATGAAAAGTAATTGCAAAAAGCAATTACATAAACACTGGTATTATTTGGGTATGTTTTTCTCCTACATTATAGGCGCTCCCCCCGCGCTTCACCCCCGCGGCTCTGGCCAGCCCCGGCGCGGTTTGTCTCCTACCGGGCTGGAGGGAAGAGTGTTCGGGGCGCGGGGTGGCTTTTTTTTTTCCCCCCCCGTCCTTCCCCAGCTCTCT